ACAGAAGAAAGAACAAAATACCTTCAAAGCTGCTAAGGCCAGACATTCTTCACACTACTCGACCGGCAGCTTAGGAACCGCAAAGTTGTTAAACCACGAAGAAGTGGACCAGATTTAGCTCGCAGGGGAACCAACTTTCTCCAACATTTCATGAACAGGATCTGCCAGAGAGATCCGTTTGACCTGACCAGATAGATGAACAGTACGGGTTTCACCCACATCTATACTGACATCCTCAGCTGCCTGAAAATGCTCAAGGAAGTGGTGTAGCTGATCGGACCTAAACCGGTCGTCGATCAGCATATCTTCAACTTGTCCCTGAGGGGGGACCTGTTGAATGGGCGTAGGCTCCTGTACGGGCCGCGAAGACCTAGCATCCTGATGAGTGGGAGTGGAAGGATTAGGCTTGGGATTCTTCTTTAATTTCTTCCTTTTCCCAACCCCACCAGCTGCTAGCACACGACTGTTATCCATTGGAGCGTCTGAATTGGGGGATGAAAAATAACAAAGGGAAATGTTAATACCGAGCGGTCTTATCACGTGGGAAACAAGGAAAACAGAACGTTTCTCGCACGGGAAGGACCGCCCGGCCCATGGTACTTGGTTCTTAAAACAAGTAGACCCAAGAGAGCGGGCAGTACCTATCCCGGCCTTGATAAGATGATCGGGGGGTCAGATATCCTATGATATCACAAGATTTGTCCTTCTCTATTGCGAAGACATCCTTGCAGTTTTGTTCGGTAAGAAGCGGATCGGGAGTTTTACGGGGAAATGCATTCCATTTGTTCGGAATCAGGCCATACGGGACGGAGACAAAAAAAACCGGTCTTTCCACCCCTTGATCGAGATAGGATTACCCTTAAATAAAATATGACCTGTTCGGGCAATTGCAGCCAGGTAACCGTGTGTCTGCTGGGGAGCCACCTTAAAAAATTGATGGAACAACTCTAGAGTGGGAGTAACATCGGCATCTTTACAACGGCAAATGAAGCCCGCTATCACCCGATAAGAGTTCGACATAACTTGGGCCGATACTATCTCATAAAAATTGAGGAAGGAAACGAAGAAAGGGTGTAGGGTAAACCTAAGCCCAGCTTTTACTGAGTCTAGATGGACCACCACCATCCCAGGAAGGTGGCGCATTGGATGAAGCCCAGCCCGAAGACAGAAATTAACTGGGTCAGGGATTAGGGCTGGGATTTGAGCCCTATTATGAGAGGTCAATTTTTGCCTCCTTTCCGTAATTAGCCTCAAGTCCAACTTATGACGGGGAACGTTGCCTGGGAGGCCGACCGCCATTGAAACGAGTTCATCACCGGATTTCGTATCGTCGGAATCATCATCAGTAGAAGAGCTGACGGAAGAATCCTCTGCCTCCACCCTAGTCTCCGCCGTCGCTTCATTTGAACCACCGACAAATGAGACATTTATGACGTCCACAACGGCGACATCATGGTCATCCCCTTAGGAAGTCATTTCCGAATCAGAGGAACGCGATTGAGGACTCATACCGACCAGACCAAAGAAAAAGGAGAAAAATTAAGGGATGAAAAATACCTGAACACGAAAAGCTTGAAGAAAGTTTAGAAAGAAGGCAGAGCTAAAGCACGAAGGATTGATAATTCGAAACCCAGAACTAAAAAACTAAAGGCTACTTTATAGTCTGACAAACGCCATATCGATGACCAACCAAATAATGACACGTCGCCAGGACTATTTGAAATAAGACGTGTCGCATGGAGAAGCAAAGATGAGTAATCATGACGATTATGGGAAAAATCAAATGACACCCGCAAGAAAGGTACTAATCATGGCATGGGGAACCAGCGAACTCTAAATCCCGATCTCCATTCGACAGGTAACTTCTACTTCCCAATGCACTCACTACCGTTTGAGACATCAGAAGTGGGGGACTCCTGTTGGAATATAGGGCCGCAGGCCCAATACCCGGATCCAAGGCCCAAGATATCCAGTCCGATGGACGGGCCCATAATCTAGAAGATGAACATGCTCATGGAAAAATATGTACCGAATGAGGTTCGGGTCAATTAACGTACTTGGGCCAGATCAATGATGGGCCAGATTAATAATGGGCCAGATCAATGGTGATTCCAGATCAATGTACCGAACGAGGTTCGGTCTAATCAACGTACTTAAACGAGATCAATGATGATTCCATCAGGGTCCACTACCCGTTCGGGCAGCGGGTAGCCAACAAGTGGCAGGGAGCATTTATTGCTAAAGTATGACGGCAGCTAGTGGGAGTATGGGTTTCCAAGTGGCTAGATAAAACAATCAATCAACATGAAGTACCCCATACCCCCCATTAGTATAAATAGAAGGATTAGTTTCATTATAAAGGGTTAACATTTTCATACTCAAGCTCTAGAATAGCATTATCACTCTTGTTCTTGTATTAATTACTACTCCGACGTATCGATCAGGAGGTTTCCATGTAATCAAGCAAGTTATTTAATACAAAGTGAGCTTTAGAGTAATCAATTACTCATCTTTTATGTAAGGAATAATTGTAATTAGATTTTGATGATGCTATATTAATTAGGATTTTAGAGTACCCTTTTTTAGTAATGTGTATTAGAATTTTTCCTTTGTAAAGTTTCTTAGAATAGTCGACTGACAGAAGACCCTCTGATAGGCTTAGTCTGAACAGAAGACCTTTGGGTTTCTGCTAGTTTGTACGCAGACAGAAACCCTCTGGCTCTCTGTTGGACCTCACTTCAACAGAAACTGTCATGACTCTCTGATTGGTTCGCTCTTGACAGAAGACCTTAGGACCCTCTGATAGCTTATTCCAACAGAAGTGCTCAAGACTTTCTCTGGCAGATCCTCTGCTCAAGACACCAAAAGCCCTGACACTTAGAGAATTTTCATGGAACTACTACAGCCGGTGAAACCATCTGAAGATTCCTTCAACGGCAAGAAGATTTCAACGGGAAAGCTATCGTACACGCATTAAATGCACATTTAATGCACCCCGTACCCTGAAGAGTAAAAGCTGATGATTGGCCGAAATTTTAGGATACTTCAGGATAACTTTATCCCAAAATAGTAACCCGCCAACTTTACCGTGTCCTACTGGTCAAGTCAACTATTCGCGCATTTAATGCAGTTGTCCTCCTCCTCCAACGGGAAGACAACCCCAGTATCAAAGATACTACTTGAAGAACATTAACAAGGACTTTGGCTAATACTTTGAAAACCCAGTACTCAGACAGAAACATTAAAACATTCAAATGCACAAGCCTTCTTGAGATCAAAATCTCCATCTTCATCAACAAGAAAGGCATATGTTAGGAAGATAATCTTTTTCTATCTTCATATCCCCAACTAGAGCAAAGTTCCAACTGTTCTTCAACTCTTCAAACACTTCAACTACAAACCTTTTGTGACGAAGCTAGTTGGAAAACCTCTGTTCTTCCAAGAACTCTTCTCAAACGAGAAGGACGTCCAAGTAACTGGAGTAGTGAAGTGGTGATACTTCCGGGAAGTTCAGTGAAAGGACCAGTCTTAAAAGAAGCAAGGAAGTGCATCCCAGGAGACATCTAGGCTTGAAGAAGACGTGGAGTGCTTCTTAAGTGCTATGACTAAGGCTTTGTAATTGGATTTTTTACAAGCTTAGTGGAACAGTGGAATAGAGGAACAAGTTGTTCCTTGAACCACTATAAAAATCCCTGATGTCATTTACTTACTGCTTTTAATTCTAGCTTTTATCTTTAACCGATTAACACCAGAATTTGGGTCTCTGTGTTCAGCAGAACCCCTCCTGCGAGTTAACAGAAGGCCTACTGCCTTTGCATCTCTTAGAGGCTATCCGGACAGAACCCCTACCAGAAGACCATCCGCTGCCAGTCTGTTCTGCCAACAGAACAGGCTATTCTGTTAAATCTGGTACTTAGCTTGAAAAGTTAAAAACCAGTACAGTCTATTCACCCCCCGTCTAGACTGTACCCAGTACAACCGGGACCAACATTTTATATTTCTTTATACACTTGGTTCTGATCCATTTCCTGATATATCCAAAGTTCGTGTTGGACTTTCGGATCTGCGGGACTAAACTTCAACATAACCTTTGGGAGCTAATAATAATTTTCCCTAAAAAATAAAATTCCAAAAATTGCAAAGTTGGAAATTGTAAGTTAAATTAATGAATTAAAGAAGAAGATTGAAATTTTTAGAAATAAATCTGAAAAATAAAAAACATGTGGAAAACCTTGATTGAACAATTCAGGAAATTAATTTATAAAGTAATGTAACTTTAAAGAGTGTATAATTTAAAAACTCAGAAAATAAAAATAACTTGAAAAAATAATTAAAAATTGAAAAAGAATAAAAAATATGAACTTTATAATGTAATATAACTTAAAGAACTGGATTTTAGAAATCTGTATTGTCATTTTATTCTTAGTTTTTGTTGATTTTTGTTTATATAACTCTATTTTTTTTTATTTTTTATTTATGTTTCGAGTTGTTGTTTGATAGAATTTAATTCAAACTAAAAGAGCTAATCTACGAGAATTGAGTATTATGGCAGCGTAAGACTATTATTATTATTCAGAAAAGTAGATCTCTTTTAAGGTAAGTACAAGAAGTATTTATAGACATAGAGCTAAAGTAGCCTAAAAAGACATAATTGGTACATTTAACGTCTCTTCTAAAGTATCCCATAATTCCGCATTGATTACTCCTTTATGTCCATGTTTTTTCCATTAAATCTTTGCCGCTGCCAGATAGCCATGCGTGATGGATGGCCTACCACTAAGCCCTATGGTGAGCCTGACCTCGCTAGAATCCCGTCCAGGCTCAAGGTCTACTGATCAGGTCAGCTTGGGTGTGGGTTTCCTTTGCGGGTCATGGTCTCTTGTTAGGCCCAGTTAACTTTATTTAATTCATTGATCCTGATTAGACAACTTGTTTTTTTTTGGATAAAATGTAAATTACATATATCCAGAAAAATAGCACAGTAAAATGCGTCATGTGTACAATCAAGGTGCATATCCCGACACCCGGGATAGCACAAAAGAAATAATGGCACAAATATTATCTATCACCTTTCATTAGACAAAAATATGACCAAAATGTTTTTAGACAAAAAAGTGACTCGACTTCACGTTTTCGTTTCTTCTTCTGCGTTTTTCTTCTGCGCTCCAAGACCGAAAAAGCTCCCACGATTCTGTGCTCTAAGACTGAAGAAGCTCCACCATGCTCATCGCCGAGGACCATCCACCATGTTTGTGTCATCGCGAGCAACCATGTCCTCGGGCCGTCTCCATCGCAGCGAGCTTCTCAGCCCTTACCAGCTTCGCCGGCAGACCTCCCCCACTGCAACGAAGAAGTCGATCCGTCTCTCACTGCACCACTTCATCTTTCTTCTTCGCATCTGCTCCATCGTTGTCGGCGACTCATCGTCCCTAATTACCAGGGTTTCAAATTGCAAAATTGAACCCCGAAATCACCAAAAAACCATATATCTGAAATTGGGGGCATGGTGCGATGTTGGGGAAAAAGTGAGTTGTGAGGGATTGAGGGTAAAGGTCTGAGGTGGCGCTGACGGCGATCGACAAGGCAAGAGACAGGCTAGTAGGCCTAGGGACGGTGCTAGGAGAGGTGCGCGACTGGAATGGTGGGGCAAAGGTAAAGTAGAGGTGATGCAGTCAGGGGCGGGAGGGTGGTGGCAGGGGCGACAATGTGGTGAGTTGCCGGGAAAGACTGTTGGAAAATTTTTCGACGGTCATAATGACATGTTTCACAGCTTCGGGTATCACTTTGGTGGTGTCACTAAGACGATGTCACTGTGGTTGTCGGAGGTGTCACGGTGGCCGTCGACGATGTCACTGTGGTCGGTGGTGTGTCACAATGGCCGACGGTGGTGTCACTATGGCCGACGGTGGTGTCATTGTGGATGCGTCACTTTGACCGGTGATGACGGAGATGTCACTGTGGAAATTAGGTGCGGGGATGTCACTACGGAAATGTCACTGCATTAGTCACATTTTGTCTAAATTTAAATGTGGTTACTTTTTTGGAAATTAGACTTGGTTTAGTAATATTAAGGGGAAATCCCCATCACAAAATCAAGACTCTCATTCTCACAAATCAGCATTTAGAGCCCAAACAACATTAGGAACTAAACGATCTAACACAAATACCTCAATAAAATATTAGGTATACCTAATTTAACATCCAAAGAAAGCTCGGAACGGAGTAGTGAACTTTGAGTCAAAACAAACCTCCCCTTTTTCTTAGTAACTCCCGGTAAACCCTCAAGACATTTGGCAGTGAATGTAAGGCCCTTTTGTCCAAGTCAGCCGTAAGTCGAAGAGAGGTATGCACTCTAATCATACTAGCATGCACAGATCTAAATGGTTTAACAATCAACCTGAGCTTCCTTCCGTTTATCACCTCAGACAGCATCATATTGTTTCAAGTCGGTCTCATCGGTTATCACTCTTTCATCGTCTTCTTTAATAACATCGGCATCCTCCACCAAGCTCTTATCCTTACAAGAATTCAGCTTTTGCACATCCTTAGAAGCCCCTTGGTCAGTTTGCACACTCACGGCCGGTAGTTGGGCAATTTGCACTGCAGCAGCAGCAGCAACAACTGGTGAAACTAAAATTGACCCCCACACAGACTGCTTTTGAAACCCGGTCGGGTTTGAGGAGCACCCAATCGGGTGTGAGGCCTGGACAGCAGTAAAATTCGCCTTTGGCCCCTGGGAAACGTTTTGGCTGTGCAAACCGGTCGGGTTTAGGGCACACCGGTCGGGTTAGGTGCCTGGGCAGCAGCAGTTGGCCCTTGGGAAAACTTCTGGCTGTGCAACTCGGTCGGGTTAGGAGGGCCCCCTGTCGGGCTAGACCCCTCAGCAGTTTTTTCTTTTTCCCCACTTTCCCTAACTCCACTCTTGACAAACTTTTTAGGGGTAATTATCTAACTACGAGTAAAACATTAGAAAAGTGCAAAAATAAGACATCAATGTTTGATAGGTGTAAAAGGACCTGAGCTGACAAAAATACCCTTAATGAAAACCTAACTATTTTATTAATAATGAAACAAAATTACAAAATACTCCGGGTTGTACTGCCAGACATTAACAAGATACAGACATGAACAGGCATGAACCACCATAGACCCAGGCTATATTGCCACCTCCACTGCCTCCTGCACTGGCAGCACCACCAGCCGCTACATCTGACATGGCCGTCACTGCCGCCGAATTTGATATCGCGCCGCCGCATCTGACATCGTGTCGCCGCTGCATTTGACATCGCGCCGCCGCATCTACCGTCATCGCCACCTCTTCTAGCATGTGGATCTCCGGCGTCGACGCACCTCTGTCGTTGCCGGTCGCCGACGGCCGCCGCCTCGTTCTAGTGTCATTGCCATCTTCATAAAGTGACATGTTTTGACATTTGAAAATCTGAAAAAATGGCATTTATGAGAGAAAAATCATGACACTTTAACAAAACAACATGGCATTTTGAGAGAAAAATCATGACACCTTAACAAAACAACATGGCATCTTGAGAGAAAAATCACGACACTTTGACAAAACAGCATGGCATTTTGAGAGAGAAAATTATGACACTCTAAAAGAAAAAATTATGACACTCTAAAAAACGACATGGCATTTGAAAATAGAAAAACATGACATTAGAAACAATATTGTATCTTGATTTAACTAGTGCCATAAAAATGATATTATTTGTCATTATTTTTAAAAAATAACATGGCATTTGAAGAGAGAAAAACATGGAACTAGAATTACTTTGCACTGTTCGAATAAAATCTATCTTATGGAATTTTCATATTTAAAATGAATAGAAATAGCAAATTTTATGTGTAAAAATAAATTAATCAAAAGTAATTGGAAAAACCATGAACTCCAGATCACCATGGAAGCCTTGAATTCTTGTATCTCATTTTTTTAGATATGAAATATAATCGTTCAATTTAGAATATGGAAAATGAAATAAAATTTATTTATTGCAATAAAAATAAAAAAGGTGAAAGTAGAGTACGAAGGACTGAAGAAGAATGGAGAGGAGGAGGAGGAGGAGGAGGAGAAGAGGGGGAAGAGTTACCTGCTCCGGCGACCATTGAGGCGAATCCAGCGAAGAGAAGCAGCAAGAGTGGAGGCGGACCCGCAAAAGAAGGGGCACTGGAGTTAAAACTGGGCGGCGAACGACGGTGAAGATGGTGAAGCCTTGAGAAATTTAATCAACAAAGAAGATTGACTTCTTGGGGGCTTGAGCGTCAATGGCTTTAGCGGAGAAGAGTGAGCGTCAATTCATTTAGGGCAGAAGGGTTTAATGGACATATCAAGAATAAGTGGTCCTATTTAGAGAATAAAAAATTAAACTCCTATTTAGGAATTCCCACCACGATTTACTCTTATCGAAGTCAATTTCTAAACTTTTTACAAATAAATGGGTTATGCCCGATGGCTTGGTTTATTAATCCTAGGTATTGGGTTTCGCTCATAATCTGCAATTGGGCTATGGCCACAGTCCATAGTACCACGACAACCCCCATACTCTCTAAAATAAGTCGGCCTTGATTTCAAGAGAGTAATGAATTTTAATTTTCGAATTTGTTTCGGAGTGGGAACATCACACCCGTTAAGCGTTCACCGTTAAATTTGTGGGCATGAAATCGACACGTGCCCACGTGGCGCACAACTTCCAAGTCTGCGCCTTAGTACTCGAGTGCTTTCAATCACACTTTCCCATTTACGTCTTTCGGGTTCTCGGTCTAGGAAAAAAGGTGTCACCCCCCAGACCGCATCTAAGCGCGTGTACAACCGTCGTGTGATTAAGTGACGTCACTTGCAAGTCAACCTCACATAATCACACAAGGCGTTCATGAACATCGTTCACACCATACTCAGTAGTAAACATACATAACAACATCACATCATAGATTGAATGAATAGCGGAAAATATTCAACGGTCAATCATAAGCCACATATGGCAAAACGTAGGCTCGCAGGCCAAAACAATGTAATATTACAAAAGTATCCATGATCATAGTTTATGATTTAAAATAATAAAGGAAGCACAAACCACGTCTTCCTCTAGATTCTTTCCACTCGTGCAAAGGTGTAGACAACAGGCTCTAGCTTCAACCTGAAATGGTGGGCCCCCCGAAGGGGTCAGTACAAGTACCGAGCGAGTAACAAGCTAAATGTAGAGTAACTAACGTTTCAAGTATAAGACCCAAACATAGGGTGATACATATACTTATACTTCCTTACCCCAAGTTACAAAATACATATCAGTACTTATATACACTTGGAAATACCCGAACCGTATGTCATTGTTTAATTGGGAAAAATAATAGTAGTCAATATCCTTGACTTAAAACCCCAACCCATCCATAGACCTCTATGAGTGTATAGGACTCCTCCTGTCCAAATCAAATAATCATAAGGACACCACCCGGACCTGAATTACTAAATAGTAATCTATGAGTTTTGAGGATACACGTCCGATCCTTGGGTACTCCACCCTATATAGCCGAGTTTTGAGGATACCGCCCGATCCTTGGGTACTCCACCCTATATAACCGAGTTTTGAGGATACCGCCCGATCATTGGGTACTCCACCCTATATAACCGAGTTTTGAGGATACCGCCCGATCCTTGGGTACTCCACCCTACATAACCGAGTTTTGAGGATACCGCCCGATCCTTGGGTACTCCACCCGACCTATGATCTACCACATATCATACTAGATAGGGCCTATATAATAATCAATAAACAAGACTAGATCAAGTCTTAAGGCCTAAACAAAATCATCCATGCAACTCATGCATTAAAATTAGCATATAGGTAAAGTAAGGCCAAACCGGCGCCGGTCAACTCTCGGTTGACCCACCATTCCAAATCCAATGTGTTTCAAACTTAGTCACAATATGTACTAAGTTATAAATAACTATTTTATGCACATTTCATCTCTAAACATATCACACATGTTTTTATGAGCATTTTCACTTCACAAATCATGCATATTTCAATTGTTCACTTCATACAAACCTAATCTCTTTAATTGGCTAATCACATGTTTAATTCATTTAAACATTATTATGAACACACATAACATATACTTAGGTAATCTCATGCTTAACCCAAAAGTTACAAGACATTAAGCCATCCACTCACTTAAATGCGTTATAGCGTGTTCTACGCTCTTCGGTTGAACTCCGGTGGAACTTCGGCGGAACTCCGGCGAACTCCGGCGAACTCTAGAAACACCTTGGTTAAGATCCTAACATGGTTTTATCATCACAAAACTCATATCAATACAAATAACCTCCAAAAAGTTATTTTCCGGCGAACCGGTCGTTTTGGCTTCTAAATCCGTTCTTGGACTTATAACCACTTTTCAACCCCTCATTCTACATTTCTAAAAGTGTATAATGATTCTAAGTGTCCTTCATATGATATATATATCATATGGTGGATGAAAAATAAAGGAAAAGTTAATATAAGGTCATTACCTCAATTCTTCTCACTTTTTCCTAACTTTTTCCTTCTTTAAACTTCCTCCTTGGACCTTGTCTTCTTGAGCTCACTTGGTTATGGAGGAAAATGGAGTTGCAGAGATTATTTCTCTTACTTGGGGTGTGCTTGGACGAAAATGAGGGGAG